AGTGCTTTGCTTTAGACCTACTGGTCAACCTGAGAAACCAAAACACAGTCACCTTGGGTACATGCTACCATTTATTGGTTGGCTTACTTAGAAGAAGTATAGATCAGTTAAGTTCTTGAAGAGGACAACCATTGGCTCATTAGCTGGATAAGGTGCAGTCCTTGGTATCTGAAGACTCTTTGATTTGTCGACATTTTTAGAATATAAAACAGCTGGAAGGCCAGTCATCCACTAATGTCACCTCTACCACCTCAGTTACAGGTCATTCAAGTTAAGCACCAATGCAGAAGTCTAATAACATCTATTTTGGGAGGTGTGAGAGAAGCCAAGCTCTTATACTCAAGAACTCTGAGAGAACTAGGGGAGTATATGCCCTTGAGATCTGCCTTAAACAGAGAGGGAATGGCCGATTAGGTATGAAATGTCACGTGGTTTTAAGGGAGGGAGGCTAATCAATGTGCATCTCACTAAAATTCATATTTCAGGCTTTTTGCCCCATACAGGAAATTGTACCATTCTTCATCTCTCTTAGCTAAATGGAGTGTTTCCATCCACTTCACAAAGGCAGGTGAGCTTCCTTGGAAGTCCAACAGAATTGCCTCTTCCAGACTGTGCCCATACACACACACACACACACACTTTTATAACCAGAAATGGAAGGGACTGATGAAAACAGATTCTTAAAGAAGGGCCAGGGATTCCAGTCTGATAATACTAAGATGGGCTGGAGAAATGGATCAGCAGTTAAGAGCACATCACTACTAACAACTGCCTAAAACTCCAGTTCCATAGGATCTGACATCCTCTTCTGGCAGCCATGTGCAAGGGACACAGACAAAATACCCATACACAAAAAATAAAAATAAAATACTGTCAGATTTTTATTGCCTACATATTTTGAAAAGTCTCTGATGAAACTTGGCTATCTACAAGGATTGGAAAAAAAAATCTATCTTTTACCATCTCTGTGAGCAGTTTCTCACATACATTCTTATCATTGTCCTCCCTTCAGATAGCACCTCATGCTATAACCCATGCTGTTATCTGTAAACTTTTAGCTGGTATCCAATACATTGAACTCTTGCTTTTTTGTTCTTTAAACAGGGTACAGTGTAGCTCGAAAGTCCTGGAAACGCTACATATACCAGATTGACCTCAAACTCACAGATACCCACCTACCTTTGCCTCCCAAGCACTAGGACCATAGACATGTACTACCATGCCCGGCTCAACACATGTAACTCTTAGATGACATCCTTGAACAGCATCTTTTAGCTCAGGATGTTCAGAGGTCAGTGGTTACTACACATATTAGCTATGCAGACATTGTTAGGTGCTCATCAGAGAATATATAGTAAGAACTATGTAACTTATTTAGACACATACACATAAAACTTTCCTCCTCCTCCTCTCTCTCTCTCTCTCTCTCTGTGTGTGTGTGTATGTGTGTGTTTGTGTATAGACAAATAAGAGGACTGGTGGCTCTTCCAGAGGACCAGGGTTCAACTCCTAGCACCCACATGGCAGCTCACAACTGTCTGTAATTATAGTACCAGGGGATCAGAATAAACACATGAATGCAGGCAAAATGACAATGCACATGAACTTACTTTAAAAATTTCATTACCAGGAGAAACGTGAAATCATTTCCATTACTACTAACAGTTCCAACAGTGGGCTCCTCTCCCCACCTCATGAAAATGGCCTCTGTGCAACACAGTCTGAGCCTCCCAATTGTGTTATTTACAGGCCTGTGCTAACATGAGGCAAGTAAATTCTTGATCTAACAGAACTAAAGACATTTCTTCTCTGGGTCCTGGATTTTTCTAACTTAGCAATGGAACTTTCTCCCAGTTTTCCATCAGAGGAAACTAATTAGAAGCAAAATAACAGCTTAATAGTTTTTTAAGCCTTTCATTCCCAAGTTAGTCATTTTCTGTGTCTGTATCCTTGACAATCTAGGGTAATAGGTCTGCTCAGTACGGTAGACAATTTTCACTTATTAGAACTGTCCAGTCTAATTTAGGCTAGCCTGATATATCTAAAACCTTTGGTTCTTGTCTATATCACTGTACTACTGAGCTTTACCACTAGCCCTTCTTTTGAGGTTTTTGTTTTTAAAGATAGGAGGGAGGAGGGTCTCATATAACATAGGTTGCTCTTGAACTATGTAGTTAAGGATGGCCTCTGCCTCCAAAGCACTGAGGTAACAGATGTGTGCCACCATACCTGGCTGAGAAAAGGTCTTCCTGCCTCTGCTTAAGTAACTAGCTGGAATCCTAGGTGCTTGCTACCATGCTCAACCTATTACACCCTCCTTTGTAATACCCACAATCCTCCACAAACCTGGAAATTTTTGATGCACTAGGTCACAGGCAAGGATAGGTTGTGCACCTTTTGTAGCTAAGGAATGTGTAACTCAGACTAAGACAAAGCTGTGAAGTTGTGTGGATCAAAGTTCTGATACCTAGTCTGAGCCCTAACATGAGTACATGAGGTCAGAAGGCTTGACTACCTGATAGTCTCTGAGCCCTAATGTGAGGCTGTTCACCTCTCTCCACTGCTCCATCAAACCACCTTATACTTAAATCTAATTTCAAAATTTGCTAACCTCGCTTTATTTATTTTCCTACTTCTAAAGTTGTGGCGTTGCTACCTGTCTCTAATCTAGGGTCCAGAAATCTGGAGAAAAAAATCAGATCATGGAGAATGGCTTAAATGGTCTTGTGATAAGACCCCAGGGATGAAATAGCAGAAGCACATAAGCAGCAACTCCAGATGGAAGGGGGGGGGGGACCCTAGTAGTGCCGTATTCTGCTACCTTTTAAAAGCTCAAAAGCTTTAGTTTGCTACATATGCACTGCCCCAGAAAGCTCTACTGCTATACCATAAAGCAACACATAAACTTTGTTTTGTTTTTCCTGAGGATCTCTCTGTGTAGCTTTGGAGCATGTCCTGGAACTCACTCTGTAGACCAGGCTGGCCTCGAACTCAGAGATCCACCTGCCTCTGCCTCCTGTGTACTGGGATTAAAGGATTTAGCCACTACTCAAATCCTTGGAAAGAAATTTCAAAAACAGAGTTCAGAAGCTGGCTTTACTGAAGCTGCCTAGTAGCATGAAGCCCTGGGTTCAATCCCCAGAAAAGAAAATTAAGAGAAAAAAAGCCCTCAAACATGGCTTTAATGCCTCCCATTACTCCAAACCCTTCCTTACACGCTCCCCTTAGTATGTCATTTTCCCACATAATGCTGGGAAGTCCATAAACTAGGACTTGAGATGTCAAGTTCTATATGGAGAAGAAATTCTCACTTTTCAAAGATTCTTTTGTGTGTGCATGCATAAGAATGCCCACCAAGGCTCCCCTCGAGTAGGAGTGTCAGGTGGTTGTCTACTGAGTTCTGAAGAACACCAATCCTCTGAAAAACCAGTAAGCACTAGTTAAGGTCTGAGCTGCCTGAGTAACAGAGAGCAGAGAGTCCATCCCAGCTACCCATCATCTGACTTTATTCACTGTTTACTGTTCAACACATGAAACTCTCCCAGCTCAAATGCACAGCAGTCTCACCTTCACTCAAGTATCAGTAATTTTAAAAAGCAGTATCCTACAGACTTAAACTCAGGGAGAACAAATTCCCATGAGCTGCCTTGTTTTCCTTTCTTGGTTGTTTATTTTTTGAAGAACTATGGATCAAATTTAGTAAGGTGTGTTCTGAGACCAGGGCTCACTATGTAGCCCTGACTGGCCAGACTCAGCTGCCTGCTCTACTTCCCAAGTGCTGGGGTTAAAGGCAAGCACAAAATGCCTGAATACCTATCAAGTATACCCCCATCTTCACCTTTTAAATGCTGCTAAATTTCTTTTTATTCCCTCAAGTTTAAGGAACCAGGAATGTACTCTAGCATGTGAAAGGCTGAGAAGGAAGGGAAGAAAATGAGTCAAGGGAAATGGAGAGAAGAAGAGAGCCAGAGGGCAAACACAAAGCAACTGCAAAGGGAACTTTGTTCCACACTCATATTTTAATAATAAATAAGGACAAACCTACAATGCTAATTTTTCAAATTATGTTGCCTTGAAAAATCATTTCTAATACAGGCTAAAAGCAACATGACTTTGAATGTGCAAATGGTAGACAAAATAGTTACAAAGTGGGTTAGCTAAAATTGTAACTCCTGCTCTTCTAATGTTCGTGTAATTGAAGCACCATCCTAATACCAGCCAAGGCACTCATCAGCACAGGAGTTGCTTTGCTAGTTTTTTGTTTATCAAGATAGGATTTCTTTGTATTGTTTTGGAGCCTGTCCTGGAACTTGCTCTGTAGACCAGGCTGGCCACAAACTCAGAGATCCACCTGCCTCTGTCTCACGAGTGCTGGGATTAAAGGCGTGCACCACCAACACTTTGCTAGTTTTCAAATGTCCACTTAATTCCATGACACCTAACCAGATTATCACTCACATCTGAGGAAGAGATGCCCATGAGATGACCTGGAGAAATATAGTTCGATTTTACAAGGCACCCACAAGTGTACCACAATGCAGAAATATGGGTGTGATCACCATTTTACAGAAAATAGCAATAAAACTTCAAAAAGTTGTAAATTCATCTGTTCTTTGAAATACAGGTATGCAACTGTTACAAAGCCGTAATAAATGGTTTTATAAAATGTAGTTTTATTTTTTATGTTACTCTGCTGTTACATAGGGCATAACATTTTCACAAGGCTTTTTTGGAACTACAGTCAATGATTAGCAAACACAATATAGTGGGTCCCTCTCTCTAAAGAACAATCACTGGACAAACTGGACACCCTCTCACATGTGCATGAATCTGCATGGAAAAGTACTGAAGTTTAGACCTGGACTTGTGTACTTTATTTCCCCTTTCTAGTGTACCAAGAAAGGACATGCATTTTAATTTGCCCAAAGCAATACTTGTTTTCTGGCAGCAACATGCTACTTCTATGACAAGGTAAAGTGAATACCAGAGCTACGAAGGCAGGAGGTGTAAGTGAATTTTTATTGGGAAGGAAGTTGTCAACTCAAACAGCAGCAAATGAAGAATGCATAAAGAAATTCCCTGTTGTCACAGACAGAAGTAACCTCCAGAATGTGTTACATAGGAGATATTTTGATCTGTGACTCCAAGACCAGATGCATTAAGAGCTTTCCCATTCAATCTAACACTTCTGGATTTCTACTTTAAAAAAAAAAAAAAAAAAAGAATATGCAGTACAAGTATGGAAAAGTTGCTTCTGAAAGGAAACCCCTCAAAGGATCGGAAAGGGGATGTAGAAATCAGGAAATTATTATTACAATTACTTTAAATTGTAATGTACTACATTTCCATATCTTCACAGTAATACAAAACACAGCCACTTGCAGAACTGGTTCAGATTACTTAAATACCAAATGCACTGTCAGTCCTCTACACAAGTGTCTGGAAGTTACTCGTGTTTATATGAAATGAAGCTATTGATACTTTTCTACAGCAGTAACTGCACACCAGGAAGGCCGAGACAACACAAATCAAGGGATGGAGTTTCCCAAAGCTGCAGTGTGAAAAGACTATAAACAGTTGATCCCATACACATGAATGGGCTTCCTTGCTAGAGGAAATCCAAGTGGAATAAGGAATGGAGATGTAAAAAGGTTTTCTTGAGGGGACGGAGGACGGCACCCTGGATGCCTTTAGTTTTCAGCTCCCTCCGCTGCATCACATTCTTCTCCTGCACTGTCTGATGTCCATAACTACAGAAGAAAGAGAAACACGGCAAGTCATTACTTCCATCCAGACAGTGTTCAAGTCCTTCATGAGAAATCAATCCTTTAAGCAAGAGGATGATCAAGCTAGTCCTTTCTCAAAACTGAACACCATCACCCCTTCAAAACACAGCCTAACAGACATTTATAAAACCACATGCATGTATACTCGTATGTACTGTGGGCAGTGCCAACACCTGCAGGTTCCTCCTTGAGTTGCTGCTTTGACTTCCCTCAAGGATGGATTGTGTATGACATAAAGTGAGAGACAAATACACTCTTCTCCTCCCCAAGTAGTTTTGGTCATAAACTTTCTCACAGCAGAGAGCAAACTGAGATAGTTCCCAGCACCACACAGTAGTTAAGCCATAGAAAATACACAAGGGAGGTGCTGAGAATCTTTTTCCATTCTCAATAGTGAAAGAGTATTTAAATATCACTTGCAGCCAGGTAGTGATACACACCTTTAATCCCAGAAATCAGGAGGCAGAGGAAAGTGGATCTCTGAGTTCAAGGCCAGTCTGGTCTACAGAATGAGTTCCAGACAAAGCTACATAAACTCTTATCTTATGTTTGTATATGTATAATTTATGAGACTAATAAAGCAAAAACTGTACAAGGAGAAAATCATGGTCTTGGTCTTTCCAAGTACATGAAGGATTAACAGAAAAAGTAGATTTACTTTGCACTGACAGAAATTTAAACAGGAGCAAGTGACCAAGGCTAAGGAGACATAACACACATACCTATGTACTAACTGAATGCTAAATAAAGCTTAAGTATTCCAATATCTAATTAAGACTATAAAGAGAAAGTGAAAAGTCAGCAGTCAATACTAATTGCAATAAGTTCAGGAAGTGAATTTTATCAGACCTACACCAGGATTGGAACTTTTAGAAAAACTAGGCTCTTAGAGTATCTTAAATTACTATTAAGATAGTTAAGATAAACAGAATAAAATCCCCTCAAAAATTATCCCTTAGAAACAACAAATGGAACCAAACCAGTTAAAAGACAGTTAGTCCTGAGTCCATGAAAGGCATATACAATCAGTATACAGAAACAGTTATGTACAGATCACTCTTCTGTCCTATAGGGCTGCAGGCTCTGCTGACATTAGAGAATGTCCAGGAGAACTGAATAGATGCAGAGCTTTATAAAACACAGTAACAACAATCCTCCCAGATACTATTCCATCAAATTTACTTGAACATGCAAGACAACATGAGTTCAAGCTTTACCACTGTCAACTATTTCCTGCTATAGTTTGGGCTTGAAATGTTCCCAAAGTCTACATGGTCACTGTGATTGAATAAGAGGTGATGGAATTTCTTAGAGCAAGTGTCAAGTTAGAGAAAGTTGGGTCATTGTGGGAGTGTCCTTGAAGAGGACACTGTGACACACATCTCTTTCCTGTGGCTGCCAGGAGAGATGTGGGTGCTCACCACACATGTTCCCATTGAACTGTTCAGCACCACATAGCTAGGTACTATGGACAGAACTCGTGAATCAAACTAATTGTTTCCTTGTCTTAAAGTTGCTTAATCCCAGGCCCTTTGTTACAGGAACAGAACACAAACGTGTCCTTTATCTGCTGTTTAAGTTAAACAGAGGCTTTAGCTTACAAGCAGAGGTAGTATTAACTTAGGTACAAGCTTAGCCTATGTTTAGTTTTTTGTCACCCTGATATAAACCAAAGTCTTCTGGGAAGAGGGAACTTTGAGGAACTAACTTCATCAGGTTGGCCTGTAGGCATGTCTGTGGGAACATTGTTTTCCTAACGGTTTCTGTGTGTAGCACTAGCTGACCTGGAACTCAATCTGTATACCAGGCTGGCCTTGAACTCAAAGATCTGCCTCTGCCCCAAGTGCTAGGGATGGTTAAGGGAATGCACCACCACTGCCTGGCTTGAGGTCATCTTGATTAATGATTGACAGGGTCTTGCCCTGCTATGGGAAGCACCACCCCTGAGAATGTGCTTCTGGACAAAAGAAAGCAGCCTGAGCAAGCCATGGGAACAAACAAGCCAGTAAGCAGCACCCTCCATGGACTCTGCTTCAGGTCCTGCCTCCAGGTTCCTGCCTTGATCTCCTGCCTGGACTTCCCTCTATGATGGACTATAAACTCGAAGATCAAACAAACCCTTTCCTCCCCAAATGCTTTTGGTCATAGTGTTTCATCACAGCAATAGAATGCAAACTAGGAACTCCTCCATCAGATATTCAAATACACAGAATTCACAAGGCAAACTTTAAAAAATAAATAGTAATAAAAACTTAAGCCTTTATAGGTATAAGTATTCCTATCTGCATACTATGTGTGTACAGTGCCCATGGAGGTCATAAGAAGACTGGAGTTAATTCATTGTGAACCACTATGTGTATACTGAGACTTGAGCTTGGGCCCTCTGGGAGAGCAATGTTCCTCTCTAGCCCTATCAAGTAAACTTTTATTACAACAAGCTGTTTTGTGTGATTTTAGGAGATTGCAACACCCATAGAATCCCTAATTGGGTATAGCTAATTTACCAAGAGTAAGGAAATATTAAAATTACACAAGCTCTCTATATTAACTGTTATCAGCATGCTTAACAAAGTCAAATTATAAGAATAATACTGTGTACCTACAAGCACAGTACCTTTCCCAGGAAGGTCTGATAAAATACCTCATCACCATGAAGATCCTTCTCAAAACTTTGTAAGAGACTATAGCTCTTATATAACTGGCCCCCAAGGATAGGAAAATCAAAATAAAATTACTGTTTATGGAAACAAAGATACACAATAGTGAAACACTCACTGTTAAGTTGTCTCTAAGCAACTGCATGATGAGGGTGCTGTCTTTGTAGGAGTCTTCATTCAGTGTATCAAGCTCTGCGATGGCCTCATCAAAAGCCTGGTAAAATTAACATTCACAGTGAGCTATACCTTGAGTGACAGGAACTGGTCAGTCTGCAAATACAACTGTGTGTACAGTGTGCTACAGGTAACACCAACTAGGAAGGACCAGCTTGGAGGCCTGGTTTAAGATGTTGTGAGGGTTCATCACTAAAGTCCTTCCCCCCCCTTACTAAACCTACACTTCCTCTGCTTCTTTTTAAAAAAAAAAAAGAATTCATATAACCTGAAACCTGCCGCAAATACACTATGTTAGCAACACTTGACACAATTCTTAGAAGCGTTAGCATGGCCTTGAGACATTTGGGGGAAGAGATTGTTAGTGCTCAAATTCGGAAGGTACTCCTTTCCAGTTTCTGATGCTTCCTCCTAAAGTTACTCTGACTTTTCCCTCCAGGCTCTTCAGGCAGACACTAGTAATTACAATCAGAGTGAGAGCGCAGCGTTTACAGAGAGAGGAAGTATTGCTAGATGGTAATTTAAAAAAAAAAAAAAAAACCACAATGCAAAAGAAATGGCCTCCTAGAGAATCCAAATACACCCTCAACCCCCCAAACCTTACCGTTTTGGCCAGTGTGCAGGCAAGCTCAGGATTATTAAGGATCTCATAGTAAAATACAGAAAAGTTAAGAGCCAGCCCCAGGCGGATTGGGTGTGTAGGTTGCATCTCTTTCTTGCTTATATCAAATGCCTCTTGGTAGGCTCCTTGGGAATTATCTATCGTTTCTGTGAGTTGGAGAAAAAAAAAATTTAAGACACAACAGCAAAAACATCTAATACATAGCATGCTAACTACTTTAAAATAAGTACCAGCTATGAGTTATTCTGAGTCACCATAACTCCAGTACAACATTTAAATAAAACCTATGGAGACCAGCAACAACATGGTCTTCGGGTAATATGGTCTTTGGGTAAAGGTACTTGACAACATGAATCTGATCCCTGGAGCCCACGTGGGAGAAGAGGTGCTCTAATATCCATTCAGGCACAGACACAATAAGAATTAAGCAGCAACGCTACGGCCCCTAAGCGTGCAATGTGTGAAGCTGAACCTGGTGGAACAGGCCTGTCCTCCTGGATTCTTGGGGGTAAACAGGAGAACTGAAGTTTCAAAGTGTGTTCAAGACCAGCCTCATAACTTAATATTTAAGTGAGGCTAGAAACATAGCTCAGTGTAGAGCATTTGCCTAGTTACATGTATACGGCCATAAGTTAAATTTTCCAGCAAAAGGATGTTACTCAAATTTTAAAGAGAACTGTAGATACAGTTTCAGTGATAGTCTTTGCCCCAGCACACACACATAGACATAACATACAGCATCCTACTTCTATATATAATTTATGAGAATAACTGATTAGGTGTATATAAATTCATGGAGCTAAAAGTTTGACAAAATCCCAAAGCACAAAAGATTAAGTCAAGGTTCATCCATAAGCGCTCCCCCTCCCCACTGGTTTGAGGCAGAGTCTTGCTATGTAGTTTGACCATGCAATAGTCTCCTGGTGTATTCTCATTTTGGGGAATATAAAGCAACATTCAATTTTCTTGATATAAAAGACTTTTTTTTTGGAGACAGTGTCTCTCTGTGCAGCCCTGGCTGTTCTGGAACTCACTCCGTAGACCAGGATAGCCTTGAACTCACAGAGATCCATCTGCCTCTGCCTCCGGAGTGCTGGGATCAAAGGCATTTGCCATCAACACCCAGCAAGACCTGTCATTTTTTAAGTTGCAAAGAGCCTGAAAGTTACCTACAGACTACTGTCCTAAATGTTATGGTTTGAATACGCAATATTCTCTAAGAAGCCCGTGCTAAAGATAGGCTTGTGAGTTTGTGTGGCATCCTAGGGGTGCTGAACAAACCAATGATCAGGCCTTTGATGGATGGCATTACTGGGAGGTGATGGAAACTAGGAAGTACCCTGAAAAGCTATACCACCCCTCTTGCTTCCTGGCTGTACCAAGGTGAGCAGTTCTGTTCTAGCATATCCTCAAGTCTGCCTATGTCAGTGTCCACATTAATGGAATTAGTGAACCATGAATCAAAATCTCCAAAGCCAAAGAAACCTCTCCTTTAAACTGTGTTTTTCTCAGATATTTTGTCTCAGTGACAAGTGACTACCCTTTCCCACTTCTTTTTATAAATTTTGCATTTACGCACAGGTCAAGATATACTTACGTTTTCGATCGTCGCCACATGCTACTTCAGCAAGATACCGGAAATAATCTCCCTTCATCTTCAGATAGAAGACCTTACTCTCTGGATTAGTTGCATTGGCTATTAAATACTTATCCAACAATTCCTAAAAGAAATATATCAAACACTAATGAAAAGCCATTCGGTCAAGACAAGAACTTAACAGTATACTTCTTGGACCTGAAGCATGTTCTCACAAAGGGTCAGGTTGCTGGACTCATGTCTGTGGCAGGCCTTGCCCATGGTTTATAGAAAAAGAAAAAAGAAAGAAACTTGGATACACCAAACATTATCATTTGAAAAATCTTGTCCTGTTATAAGCCATTTACCCAATACTTACTGATACCTGCCTTAGGTGCCATGAACTAAACTAAATACATAAAAAAAGCATGCTGCCCTGAAGAAGTGCCCAGTTGGTTAAGTACACTATGAGTACACCCGAGTTTTGGAAGATGTATGAGAGGTGACATGGACTAGGCAGGCAGATGGAGAAGAGGGACAGGAGGGCCAACCAAAACTAAAAATACATGCAAGTGACACCTGGGGTTAGCTAATTTTTTCTCAAAAAAAAAAAAAAAAAAAAAAAAAAAAAAGAGGCACCATGTGTGTATGAATGAATAAAGCTGCCCAGAGACCATGTTATCACATAAAAATTCCAGGACCAGGAGTGGGATACTCCCTTATAAGTTGTCAGTCAGGTAAACCCCTGTAGGTTCCAAAAGAAAACAAGCAATTGTTACTGGAGTTGGCTGCCATCAGAACTAGAGTACAACCCTGCTGTTAGAGACAGAGCTCTAGTCTAGTACCCCAAGGCAGGTGGTCCTGAATTACATAAAAAAGAAAGAGGAGCACACCATGGAGAGTAAGCCAATAAAGAGTACTCCTCCCTGTCTCTGCTCCACTTCCTGCCTTGAGGGTCCTGCCCTGACTTTCTTTCTCAGTTATGGAGTGTGGTGTGGGAGTTGTTGTAAGGTGAAAGCCTTTTTTCCCCCTCAAATGGTTCTTGTCAGTGAACCAAGCTGGCACTCAAACTGGAACTAGAGTGGAGATGTCTTCCCTACTATCTACTTCTCACAGTACAAGAAGAGCTATGCAAGCTGCTGAGAGAGATGTCACCCAACACCACAACAGCATCACACTAAGAGCTCAGAGAACATGAACTGACCAGCTCCTCTGCCTCAGTTCAGTTTGAGAATCTGAACTCTTGGGGAAAAAAAAAAAAAAAAAAAAAAAAACCCAAAAAACAAAAAATAAGAAAAGAAAATACCAGGTACTATCTGTTAAACAAGTTATAAAGTGCAAAATATGATGCAAATTGGAAAGTCTAGAAAATAACCCAGAATAAGATTTATAAACTGACACATATCTATTACTAAAGAAAGATTATTTAGCAGATCTCCAACATATGGGAAAAACAGATCTGATGAAAACGCCCCTAACAAAATGCAACCACTGTATCCTGACAAGACAGTTTAACAGAAACAGAGAAGGGAAAGCACTTAAATCTTTAAATTAAAAAGAAAAGAAAAAAAAGAAAGAAAACTTTCGCAGAGCTGAAGAGATGGCTCAGTGGCTGAGAGCACTGTTGCTCTGGCAGAGAACCTGGGTTCAATTCCCAGCACCCACACAGTGGTTCACAACCATCCAATTCAGAGTATCTGATTCCCTCTTCTCATCTCTGTAGTACCAGCCACACATATAGTACAAAAATACACACGCAGGCAAAACAAACGCTCATACATCGAACATAAATCTTAAAATAAAATACTAGCTGGGTATGGTGGCGCACACCTTTAAGCCCAGCACTCAGGAGGCAGAGGCAGGTGGATGAGTTCAAGCCCAACCTGGTCTACAGAGCCAGTTCCAGGACAACCAAGGCTACACAGAGAAACAATGACTCAAAAACAAAACAAGGTTTCCCGTTACAAACAATAACTGTTTTTTTGAGAATCACATTATGTAGCTAACTCTGGTGTTAAGCACAGTCCTCCCTCCTGCCTAGGCCTCCAGAGTTAAAGAATTACAACAATGAGCCACCACAGCTATATCCATGCATTATTTTTAACTCATATTGCATGACCCTGGGAGATCTGGAGGACTACTACTGGGGCTCTCTTTAGCACTGGCAGTGTTACTTGGCTGAGGGGGGCATACAGCATCAGAAAGCCATAAGATGTCATTGCACTACTCACAACCATAGGATGGTCTGGTAACTGAGAGCACTCTTCTAGATCCCTGGTTCTCAACCATCCTAATGCTGTGACTCTTTGATACAATTCCTCAAGTTGTAGTCACCCCAACTATAAAATTATTTCACTGCTACTTCATAATTTTAATTTTGCTACTGCTGTGAATCGTAATGTAAATTATCTTATATGCAGGATATGTGACAGTCGACCCTTTCTGGGGTAGAGACCCATGAGTTGAGAACTGCTGTTCTAGATCAGAGATGTAAGAAAGAGCTCAATGGAAAGGTGTAAGTAACTAACTCTCAGAAAAGCACAATACTGCAAAAGCTATAAACTAGTTAAGTCTGTCAAGAAAAAGCACCTCTACATACATAGATCAGTAGCACCTCCTTATTCCTTGCTCCCCTGTCTTAAAGAACTAGAAGAAGAAGCAAACAAACTCCACTAACTAACTCGTAAAGGTAACCCTCTTTTGCATGTCACAACTGAGCCATGTTTTACTGAAGTAATCCACTTCCTTGCTGGTTATGGTCTACAGCACTCAAAGTAAGCTGAGTCAGACATGCTGCTCCTAACCACAAGACTTACACTTCACACAGATTAACTAAGAGCAGGAACCTGATGAGGAATCTTGAAAATAAGGAATAACAAAAAACAGGAAGCAAATGTTCCCACATTTTCCAGTTTCCTGCCACCTCACTAAAACCCATTAATAAACACACTACTGATATCCTAAAATGGAGTATATCTAAGAGGCACAAGTTAGGTTTACTTTTAAATAGTCATACAGACAAAATAACCATGCTATTTTAGAAATATGAGCTTTACAAATTAGACTGGAAAAGTAGCTCAAAAGTTAAGCACTGGGCTGGCTACGCTCCCAGAGGACCCAATGCCCTCTTCTGGCCTCTGAGGGCACCCCCAGCCCCAGCCCCAGCCCCAACACACACACACACACACACATCCCAAAAAAAAAACATCAAATTTTTAAGTCTTTACAAAGTTAAGGGGGGGGGGGGGGGGGGAGGGAAATCTTTCTCATCAATTTACATGTACATAAAACACACAAAAACTTCATGCGTACCAAGACAGCGTCTACTACTTAGGAGCAACTAAAAAAAATTTTTATTATAATGTGTCTCATATATACTGGCACTTTCAGAGGCCAGAAGAGGGAGCCAGAACCCCTAAAGTAGGAGTTATAGGAGGCTGTGAGTCTTCTGGCATGGGTGCTGGAAAGCCTACTCCCTATCCCAGAAGAGTAATTGTTCACAAGTGCTGAGTCATCTCTCTAGCCTCTAAGAGCCATTCTTTAAACAAACAAATGTTACCTGTAGCCACCAGCTCTATATATTAACCTCACCCATGCCTAGATGAGGGACCTCTAATAGATTTTTATTGAAAGCTTTACTTTAAAGGACTTGTCACCTCCCTCCTTTTCCTATTAGTTCTGTTCTTTCAAATAGCGCCCCCTACAGCCAATACTAAGGCTTTCTTAACTATGTTAAAATGAAGTTGGTATATAATATACATCTACACAGACAAAATATGAATTTCACTACCTGATTTTTCATATATCCAAATTACACAGATGTGTAGCCCTAAAAAATACAAAGACTATGACTTGTAACTACCAACTTGTTCCAAGTGTCATGAATGACCTCTCCAGTCAAGTTACAAAGCATACACAACCATTTCATTTTTAATTAAGTTATATACTATGTAATTTTTGCTTTACAAAATACTTTTTAAAAACCTCTATGATGGGTAATATTCTTCTGTGTATGTCCATCTTATTGGTTAATGAATAAAGCACTGTTGGCCAATAGGGAGGCAAGATAGGCAGAACTAGGAGACAAAGAGGATTCTGGGAGAGGTAGTCAAGATGTGATCTCAGGAGGAGAGGACTGATGAGTCTGGTGTTCTTGGTAAGATACATATATTAGTAGAAATATATATATATATATGTAGAAATACATATATTAGTAATTATGGGTTAATAATAAGATAAAGCTAGCCAATAAGAAATGCTAGTAACCAGCCAACAGTTTTATAATTAATATTAAGTCTCTGTGTGTTTTTCCTTTATAAAAATTTCAGTACAGTGCCTAATAGGCACAGTGCTTTTCTGGAACTTGTGAAGGAAAATTATAGTCACCCTATTCTGTTTTCTGCCTCCTCAGGGTAAAAATAATTTAAAAAAAAAAAAATCTCAAAATGGCAGGTCCAAATTCAAATCTATCATGTCTTTCTTCCTTATTCTGATTTTGTATGCAAGCACCAATTCCTGCTGAATAACGGACAATATACATGTATTCCACATAAAATACAGAAGTGAAAAAATAAGTTCTCCCTACAATTCCTTACACATCTAGGTCTTCAATTCCTAAAAGCAGCAATTACTAAAAGCTTCTTTCATGCTTTTCCAGAAAGTCAAAGCATTTGGAGCCACTTGTTCTTCTACATATTAACACTCTTCATAAATTATCCTGTACCTTAGTCTCCCCGTATAGTAATCCCTCTGAGATAGCTTACTTGGGAGGCAGAGGCAGGAGTTCTGAGAGTTCAAGCCAACCTTGTCTACACAGTAAGTTCCAAGTCAACCAAAACTACAAAGGGGCCTCTTTCAAAATTAAACACATAATTCTTAAACTATTGAAGTTGGATAATGAATGCATATATTATTTTCTTTTATTCTGCGTAAGCTCTTTTACAGATGTAAAATAATTTTTAAAACTTGAAAAGAAATGAAGCCAAGAAGAACAAATTAAGTTAAGGAAGGAGTATGTGTCAGTGTTTATTATGCAAACCTATAATTTCCCTTAGCCAGCTAAGCCTTTGCACCTTAGGTGCAGGTGAGGAGGTGGTGAACACAAGCTCAGTTCCAGCAGCAAGAAAGGTTGACAGGTCTGAGGTC